TAATCTCAAAAGGAATCAGTATTAATGTTCTGTATTTACCTGCAGGTACTGGTCCTGGGTCAGCGTCATGGTTCTTGCGTCCCTTTTGGTCACCTTCGTTCCAAGGACGGTCCGATGGTAAGTTACGATGGCCTGGATACGCGCCTCGTAATGCATGTCCACGACGAGTTTTTTGCAGCATTTGGTAGCCACCGCATCCGCCCTGGCCTCATGTCCGTCCTAGCATCTAAAGAAATCCTGCATACAAACATGATGTATCCATTCATTATTTCAAGAATGTCCAATGAATGCGATGTATTGAGCAATGTAGTTTCTGTGACTCGTGCTTGCTCTTTGGCAGAAGGTGACCCTCCGGAAGCAGGCTGCCAATAACTGTCAACATACCATCGAAGGTGTCCTGACTCAGGCTATACTAGGACTTTAACAATATTATGCGTTCAATGGCATCTAGTTGAGAAACCTTTGTTTGGCCGTGAAGGGGTTTCTGTGCCGTGGCAAACATGTCGTAGAACGCCTTTGTGGTTGCCTCTGGCTCCTCCTCCGTACGTCCTTTAGCGAACTATGCCTCATGATAGTCATTTAACATGTCTGCTACCCCGACATCAGCATCATAATCCTCAACGCATGGTCTCACCACCTCCTCTCTCATACGATAGGCTTCACCATGGTAGACCCACCGGGTATAGTCTGCCGTAAATCCATTCTTCTAAAGATGTTCCCCCATGACCTTCTTCATTTGTCTTTTCCTATTTGCACATTTGCTGCAGGGACAGCAAATTTTACTCGCTCCTTTAGCAGCCACGCCAAATGCCCGTTCCAATAAAGTATCGGTCTTGTTGATCCATTCATTGGTGACCTGACCCTGACTTGCGCGGCCCGTGTACATCCACTCAAAGTCCTCCATCCTCTAACATATATAGCGGCGAGTAATATAAACATAAATTGCATCGACACGATGTTCCTACTATCTAATAGGTGAGGATAGGTCCTAATCCCACACGAGGATTCATAGATGAGGTTAGTTTCCATGCTCTACTCCTATCCGAGATAGAATTTCAGCAGCACCTCCCGCTGTTCTCCAAATACACATCCTGCTAGGGAGAGTGTGTATCCGGAGAACAACAGGGAGATGATGCCGAAACTCTATCTCGGATCATAGCAGACCATGGAAACTAACCCCACCTACGCATCCGCGGGCTATCCAAAAAACGTGAACAATTCGAAACAGATACGGTTTTAGATATGGAAATATCTGCATATTTCCTACCGTTTCTCTTTTGAACGGGAGACGCCTAACTAGGTTATGTGATCTACGACCATGATACGGAATGAGGGGTTATACCTAGGGTGGTGGTGGAGTCAGGCTAGCGGGGCCATGGCAGGTCGGTGTAGTGGCGAGGCGACACGGTGCAGGCAGACCCACAGCGGCGATGAAGGCGATCGGGGTCGCCGAGGTACTCTGGCTCCGCTCCGATGGGCTCTTCTCTGCAAAAAAAAGAAACATAAAACTGTCAATACAAAATTTTGGCAGTACCTCCCCTGCATGGTGAGGTTTCCAAAACCTGCAAGAAAACCAACGGCACGATGGCCGACATGCACATATATATGAACAGCACGATGGCCGACATGCACAAGATTATATCCAACCACATATATATAACAATGTCACAACCACTCCTACGACTCCTACGACTACCACCACTTCTACTCTACCACTACTACTACCGCAACTACTAGTAATACTATGACGACGACAATGGTAGGGCATACCTAGTGGGCGTCGTAGGGCGGCGGTGGTGAAGGGGCCAGGGTGCCAGTGGACAAGGCGACAGCTGGGGAAGCACCGGGGACGTGGCAACGGCGGCCGGGGCGCCTCCTCCTCCTTCTTCTTCTTCCTCCTTCCTCCTTCTTCCTCCTCCTTCTCTTCCTCCTTCTTCCTCCTTCCTCCTCTCCTCCTCTCCTCCTCCTCCTCTCTTTCTCCTCCTCCTCCGGCGGCGCGGCGCAGGGGGCGGCGCAAGCGCGGGCGGGGGCGGCGGCGACGCTGATGCGATCAGCTGCCTGCATGCGTGTGTGCGGTGTGTGTGGGCCGGCTGGGCCGGCGGGGTTAAATCCCCCCTTTGCCGAGTGCCCCCGATCTGGCACTCGGCAAAGTATTTTTTTTAATTTTTTTTAATTCTCTGCCGAGTGCCACCTGGCCTGGCACTCGGCAAAGTGGGTTTTTTTTTAAATAAAATCTTTGCCGAGTGCCCCCGATCTGGCACTCGGCAAAGTATTTTTTTATTTTTTTTTAAATTCTTTGTCGAGTGCCACCCGGCCTGACACTCGGCAAAGAGGGTTTTTTTAATTTTTTTTAAAATTCTTTGACGGGTGCCAGCCGTCCTGGCACTCGGCAAAGAGGCTCCTTTGCCGAGCGCCAAACGCAGACACTCGGCAAACCGTTTTTATTTTTTTTCTTCCTGCGCCCAAACTTTCCTGTAGTCCTCATACAATACCTGGTACTCCATGTTCCAATGTGGCATATTTCTCGGGCTTTTTCTTTATTTCTTTAATTTATTCCATTTAATTGAATTTTCTTGGATAATTCAAATTATAACTGCTAGTCATTCGAATAATGAAAAAAATGAATGGGAAAATGATATTCATGTTATTTAGTATAATATGAGGCCGTATCCAGGAACAGACCACCAATTTTGAACATCTTGTTCACGAAACATGAGCACGAATTTGCGGTCGAGTTGTTTTTAAATTCTATAAAAAGCAAACGAAGACCGAAAATCTTGAAACTTGTCGAGATGTCATGATATCATATGTGGAGGCTGTGATAAAAAATTGAGGTGGTTTCGCGCAAGTTTGTCACGTACGATGCTTACCACCTCGTCGGCCTCTTCACGAAATCATGAAACTTCTTCGGAAATTCTTCGGTTTGCAAGCATCGTACGTGACAACTTGCGCAAAACCTTCTCAAATTTTTATCACAGCCTCCACATATGATATCATGACATCTTGACAAGTTTCATGATTTTCGGACTTCGTTTGCTTTTTATAGAATTTAAAAACAACTCGACCGCAAGTTCGTGGTCATATTTCGCGAATAAGATGTTCGAAATTGGTGGTCTATTCCTGGATACGGCCTCACATTATACTAAATAACATGAATATCATTTTTCCATTCATTTTTTTCATTATTCGAATGACTAGCAATTATAATTTGAATTATCCAAGAAAATTCAATTAAATGAAATAAATTAAAGAAATATAGAAAAAGTCCGAGAAATATGCCACATTGGAACATGGAGTACCAGGTATTATATGAGGACTGTAGAAAAAGTTTGGAGGTCAAAAGTAAAAAAAAAATATGGTTTGCCGAGTGTCAAAAAATGACACTCGGCAAATCACCGCTAGACACTCGGCAAAGGGTTAACGGTGGCTGCCGGCCGTTAACGGTGGTGGTCCTTTGCCGAGTGTTCTGGTTTGCCGAGTGCCCGACACTCAGCAAACCTGGTCTTTGCCGAGTGTCAGTCGGTACAGATACTCATGGCAAGAGCCATGGCATGACGAACGTTGAACGCGTCTGCCTAGAGGCTGGAGCAGCACCCTGAGCAGTGGAGCATAAGCATGGCGGTGGCGTGCGCGCGCATGGCGTCCTCTGCAGTGCTGAAGTGGCCGAGCCAGAGCCTGCAGCCGGCAGTCTGGCACACGGACCATGCAGTTGGCCGTGCAAACGAGGCAAGCGTGCAGCGGTGCAGGCGAGACGAGCAGTGACCACAGCAGCACGCCACGCTTGCATCAAGCGACCATAGCGCTTGCCGCAGCATTCGTTGAGGGGACCACAGACAGCAGACCATGGATTGCACCCACTCCGGCAGGCCCATCACCATGACCGCCGCCCACGCCCCTCTTGTGCACGTCGGGCGCCGGCGCCGGCCGCAGGTGCAGGTGGTGGAGGCAGACGATGAGGTCCATGTAGCGGTGGAACTCGTCGCACGCGCAGGGGTGTTGGCGTTGCGCAGCCGACTCAGGGCGACCATGCCGCCGTCGCCAAGCATGGTGCGGTACACGGTGCCTAGGGTTCCCCTGCCGGCCATCTCCATGGACGCGCATAGCAACTCCTCCAACTGGAACCTGCTGCCTCGCCGCCCCTGCACCTGTAGGTGCGAGGTCAGCGAAGCACCGGCGCTACCGCCGCCGTCCTCCTCCTCACTGGCCTCGTCGTGGCCTCTCCTCCAACGCCGGTGGCCGCTCCTTCCCGTTGTCCTGCTGATGCCGCCGACAGGGCCTTGGCGGCTGTCGGCGTGCGCGGAGGACCGCCCAGCACCACCGGCTGCGTGCCAGGATGGCGCGGCCCGTGTTGCGACAGCCAATGCGCGGTCAGGGGCAGATCCAGCTAGGCCTCGGGCTGCTTGGGCTGCAGCTCGGGGCTAGGCCCAAGAACTGTAGGAATAAGTATCATAAAAAACACATAAAAAGGCCATCTAGCTCATTAGTCCCCTCCGACGTGAGAAGAGCGCATTAGTTAGCCCGGGGCGCAGCCTGTTTCTGGATCCGCCCTTGCACGCGGTAGGTCATGTCGCGCATCGTCGGGGCGGAGCCAGAGCAGGCAAGTGTGCCACCAGTTATGGCGCCACCGTGCACGAGGCGTAGCACCTGGAGGAGTTGGCTTGCTGCGCGTGCGGCGTCAACCACTTGGACGATGGGCCCTGGTTGTCGCTGTCAGATGCGCATGCGCCCAAGCCCCTCTACGCTTGCCGTGGGCGCCCTCATCATGAATGGAGGAGGAGGAGGCAGGGCCAGAGTGGTCTTTTCGCATGCCCCCTGCCATGGTGGAAGGATGAGTTGGCCGCCACGTGTGCAAAATGTCTAAAACGGTGAAATTTTTGTCTGCGCGGTGGCTAAAACATAGAGACGCTCACAAAGCGGGCATTTGAGCCCTAGCCAAATGGAAAAGTAGCAAAAAATTAAATATCCCCTAATTCCATCCCTTCGGCCTTTCCCCACTCTCGATGGATTTGGGCGGCGGCGGCGGCGGCGGCGAGAGCGAGAGCGAAGCCAACCGCACGAAGCTCTCCTCCGACGATACCGCAGGCAAGGACTATCTTAGCGCGCTCCCTGACGACGCGCTCGTCGTCATCCTTCTCAACCTCAGCACCCGCGACGCCGTGCGGACCAGCGTCCTCTCTCAATGCTGGCGCTGTGTCTGGGCCGTCCTCCCTGGACTCGCCTTCGACTCCGACACAAATCCCCACCAGATCATATCCGCCCTCCGACTCTGTGGCAGCCTGGCTCCCCGTCGCCGTGCCGTGCCTCTCTGGCCACCTCTACTTTCGTAATCTTGAGCAAGATAGGATCGGCCGGGAAGGCGATGAGGAGATCGCCCAAGAAGGAGATGATGATGATGATGATGATGATGATGATGATGATGATGATGATGATGATGATGATGATGATGATGATGGTGATGATGGTGAGATGATGATGAGGAGGAGGAGAAGGATGAGGCCACTCAAAGGACCCTGCTTGGAGCGCGGCACCAGTGTCGCGCTTCACCTAGGATTCCTCGGCCTCACCATGCCGCAAGCCAGAGTCTTCACTCGACTCCGCTAGCTGTGGCTATCTTCCATCCGGCTCCAAGGCCCGGAGTTACTTGGCGACGTCGTTTCCTGGCCGCGATGTCCATGTTTGCAGAGGCTCACCGTCCGTGACGCCCACGGGCTGGACAATCTCGCCATCCATTCCAATTCTCTACAGAAAATGGAGCTTAATGTGCACGGCTTGCGGCAGCTCACCATTGTGGCACCAGCTCTTGAGGATTTGAATGTTAAGTTCTGCTTCTACTACAGTCGGAGCCAACCGGTTGCCAGCATAACAGCCCCTCAGCTGGGAACCCTTATGTGGTCAGATTTGTATGATCCAAGTTCTGTCCATCTTGGCAAGATGGAACATCTCAGATTGCTGAAGCCTTTCGTCTTTATTGTATATGGGAATGACAGCGTGACACTCAATCCATCATGTTTAAGTCTCTTGTGGCGTTTTAAGGTCATAGAACATCTTACTCTCACATTGTTCTATCAGCAGGTGACTCCACTTCCTCTCTTATGCATTTCAGTGCGTGCATCTATCCAAATGTGCAACCAGAGAAAGTAGTGCCAAGGCATCCATGCAATTAACATTAGCACAATATTGTTACATTAACAAGGAAGATCAAATGAAGTAATTAAGTCATACCATTTTTTTGCATAATGTTATAACCAGGCAACCAGCACATGTGCCAAGGCATACCATATTTGAGTATTTATTATTACAAAAAGATGCAACTTCACTTCAAGTACCAGCACAAATTATGGGGATATACAACTTGCTTGGGACTAAAAGGATTTCTGTTGGTAGAGAACTAGCCATGGAATTTATTCATGCTTCCAGTTAAGTTATAATAACCACCACTTCCTGCATGATAACATCAATGGCCACCTTATTAGAACTACTTAAGATGAGATGCTGTTGTCACTTTTCAATTGTCATATATGACCCTTCTTTTCTTTTGACTTCCCATGGACACACAGAACATCAATAACAATCAGTACATGATGGAAGATATGACAATGCTCCTGGACATCACGATTTTGCACCTGAATGTTATTGCAAGTGGACATTGTTTTGGGGCCAGCTCATTTCATGTTCTCAAGTTGTGTTCTGGTATAAGAAGATTGATGTTGATGCTTGCTGAGGCAGAGGTAAGGCAATCATTTGTTTATCCAATGCACTTTTGTATTTCTTAGTTCACCATTGCCTGATCTGTTAGTGCTCCTAGGCATCCATTCTTATATTTTGCCCAAAAAGTTATGGTTCATATATGTCCTAATTGTTAGAGGTATGTATGGCAACGTATTAGGTGCAAACCAACCAACCTGTGCAAACTTTGAAACTACCAATCAGGACCACTAGATGCTGATCCAATTGATAGGGTGAGAGGTGGGATTTTTTTGCGCTTAAGCCCCCTCACCCCATCCATTGGATCAGCATCTATTGGTCCTGATTTGTAGTTTCCAAGTTTGCACAGGTTGGTTGGTTTGCACCTGATATGTTGCCGGTATGTATTTATGAATAGTTGTGTGGTTACTCCCTAGTATGGCAGGTTTTTGTCATTTGTACCTATACCTCCTCCCTTTGAGGATATGCAATACAATTGAGTTGCATTCTGTAACACTAATGACAACACTGTGCTCTATAGTTTACGGTTTTGACAGAGTGTTCTGCTATTTAGGTTGTAAAATATCTGTCATTTATCGAATTATTGTCTGTCTATAACCGACATATTTCCCAAGACGAATGATCCACGTCCCCTGCTGTGGCGACTCGCACAGAGGAAGACATAGAGCAGCAGCAGTGTGCTTTTGGGAATGTGTAATTGTAGAGGCTGTCTGTTGGGTATTTGACAGTGAGAAGAAAGATAACTGAGTTGTTGCATGGGAGGCTTGATCTAGACAAATAGGAGTTACAAGATATCAGTAGGTGCTGGTAAATAATATACCAGTGGCAACTTTGCAAAGGGCCCTAATTTATAAAGGGTTCCATGCTTCCATTGGATAACTTGAGCCCTATGGTCGACTGAAAATATTCTTGAATGTTATTGACATCATAATCATGTCTGCTATACCATTTTCTCTTAGCTCAGAACAGTCCTATTGCTACACTCTGGTGGCTTCAAAGTAATGTTCACAAGATAACCCGTTTGCAAATATTGTGTTGCCTTTGCTTGTGTATTTGGGCACTCTGATAATTTTTCAAAATTCTTGTCTGTTTATTTCATTCAACAACATCAGTTAAGCTTACAGTTACAGGTTTATGTGTTTGCTTTTCCAGGAACAAACTACATGCCCACCAGGTTGCATTTGCATTCAGCAACAAAACTGGGAAACTGAGCACCTGTTGTTGAATCGCCTCAAAGAAGTTGAAATCGATCAGTTCAGAGGATCTGAACATGAATTTACTTTTGTGAAGCAGCTCTTCGTTTGGGCGACAACATTAGAAAAGATGACAGTAACTTTTGATGACTCAATTACTGAAAGCGTGGCCATGGAGTTGGGCCAGGTGTTACAAAGCTTCTCTAGGCAAGAAACACGCATGGAAATTGCACGTGTCAGGATATGATCAAGGTGATGTATGCACCCAAAGACTAAGGCACCAGGTTTACCGCGATGTTTCTGTAGTTTTCCTCTTTCGTTATATACTGCAGTGGTTGAGAACCTGCGATCATCAAAACTCTACAGCTGGCATGCTGACGAGTAGAGATCAGTCTTGTTTGGATCGATAATCAATCCATGACTCTGTAATTGCACATTCACAAACATTTTATGAAGAATGGCCAGGATTATCTTTGACGAGCTATAGCAATTTTGAAATCTCATTGTTCGGTTAATCTAAATGGATTGTTGCAGCAGCAAAATTTCCCGAGTCCCAACAGTAAAATTTACTGTTCCGTACTACGGCTCAATAGCTCTTCCATATTTCGTGTGGAATGTTCGTGTTGTAATTTTTATGTGATCATCAACTGATTATCATCAGGAGACTCGAGACTGGAGACAGGAAAAACAATTGGATGGGTCTGAGTGACAGACTGCAGTGCCCAAAAAAACGGATTGGGCCCAAAAAAAAACGGATTGGGCCAGAAACATGTCAGATGCCGCTGCGTGGCAACAAATATATATATGGCTGGCCCGCCTGGCCATTCGTCATCATCGCCGCGCACGCCGGCGCCGCGATTTCCCGATCCCCAAACCCGGACGCGGCGCCGCCATGGGGGTGGTCACCAGAGCCAAGAAGAGGAGACTAGAAGAAGAGGAAGAGCGCCTCGCCGACAGGATCAGCAACCTTCCTGACGGCGTCCTCGGCGACATCGTGTCTCTCCTCCCCACTAAAGACGGCGCCTGTACACAGGTCCTCTCCTCCCGCTGGCGCCACGTATGGCGCTCCGCTCCTCTCAACCTCGACCTCGACATCCTTGCCAGCGCCAACGACATCTCCGGCATCCTCGCTACGCACCATGGCCCTGGCCGCCGCTTCGCCATGCCTCGCCGCTACAAGGAGTATTACTATCCCACCACGGCGACCCTGGAGGGCTGGCCCTGGTCTCCTGCCCAGTATTACCATTATCCCACCACGGCCACCCTGGATGGATGGCTCAGGTCTCCTGCCCTCGACAACCTCCAGGAGCTTGAGTTCCGCCGCTCCGGTCTGCTGCCGGCATCTGTGCACCGCTTCTCGTCCACCCTTCGTGTTGCTAGCTTCAGTGGCTGCAGCTTCCCGGATGGAAGCAATGCCAGCAGCGCGCTATGCTTGCCGGTTCTCCAGCAGATGACCCTTTTGAATGTCAGCATCTCAGAGAGCTCTCTGCATGCCTTGCTCGCCGGCTGCCCTATCCTGGAAAGCTTGCTAATTGACGAGTTCATCCACCCTCGACTGCAAATCGTATCCTGTAGCCTCAGAAGCATCGGTGTGCATTTTTCTTCGAGAGGTCACAGGTTAGCCTTAGTCATCGAGGATGCCCCATGTCTAGAAAGACTGCTATATTTTGGGGGAACGCAGCTGGACGTCTCGGTAATCTCTACTCCAAGATTGGTTATTTGGGGAGACCTCTTTCACAGTTATCACGGATTTCGGTGGGACTATAAGAAAATGGGGGAACCAGATGACCTTTGTGGTCTCTGGACTGCATGTTATATATTCAGGGAAACGCCTCCTCACGGGCTTGGATTACATCACGGTAGTTACACAACAACCTTATGTATCTATCCTAACAACCTCTAATAATCTCTCCCTATACATATGCTGTACACCGCATGACTCGGTTGTCTAGGATAACTATGATGCATATCATCTAACACTCCCCCTCAATCTTAGCCACTAAGAAGGTTAAGATTGGTTCTGAACTGTTGAAGCTTGGCAGCAGGAATAGCCTTGGTGAAACCGTCAGCAAGTTGATCACCTGAGTTGATGAATCTGATCTCCAACAGTTTTGCAGCCACTCGCTCCCTAACAAAATGGAAGTCGATCTCGATATGCTTAGTCCAGGCATGGAAGACGGGGTTTGCAGAGAGATACTTAGCTCCCAAATTGTCACACCAAAGGCGTGCAACTGAAGGACACCGAATCTGCAGTTCTTTCAGCAATTTCTGAACCCACATAATTTCGGCAGTTGCATTAGCCAGCGCTTTGTACTCCGCCTCAGTACTTGATCTAGAAACAGTAGCTTGTTTCCGAGCCATCCATGAGATCAAGTTGCTGCCCAGAAACACTGCAAAGCCACCAGTGGAACGGCGGTCATCAACACACCCCGCCCAGTCAGCATCTGAGAAAGCACTAACAAGCATAGAACTCGACTTCTTGATTTTGAGCCCCAAACTAACTGTGCCACGCACATAGCGTAATATTCGCTTGACTGCACTCCAATGAACAGTTGTAGGAGCATGAAGATACTGACACACTTTGTTGACAGAGAAGGATAGATCAGGCCGTGTTAGCGTCAAGTATTGAAGAGCTCCAACAACGCTTCTGTAGCGAGTGGCATCTTCAGGGCTAAGTGGATCTCCAGCAGTAAGACTGAGCTTCTCCGAGACGCATAATGGCGTGTCAACTGGCTTTGCACGGTCCATACCAGACCTAAATAGAACATCAGTGGCATAGCGCTCTTGAGACAACAGCAAGCCATCACCAACTCTTTTAACTTCGATGCCGAGGAAGAAGTGAAGATCGCCCAAGTCTTTCAGAGCAAACTCAGCTTGGAGATCTTTAAGTAGAGCTGCGGTAGCTGATGAAGAGGAACTTGCCACAATGATGTCATCAACATATACCAAGACAAACATGGTGTATGAGCCCTTGTTATAATAGAACAAAGAGGTATCTGCTCGTGAGGGAACAAAGCCAAGTGCTTGCAGCTTATTGTAGAGTCGAGCGTACCAAGCCCGTGGAGCTTGTTTCAAGCCATAAAGTGCTTTATCCAACTTTCATACATAGCTAGGATGGGCCTTGTCAGCATACCTGGGAGGTTGGTGCATGTAGACCTCTTCTTCAAGAAAGCCATGAAGAAACGCATTTTGAACATCAAGCTGACGTAACGACCATCCCTTTGTCACAGCCACGGACAGAATCAGACGGATAGTGGCTGATTTGACAACTGGGCTAAAAGTTTCTTCATAGTCAATGCCATAACGCTGTTTGAAGCCCTTAGCAACAAGTCGTGCCTTGTAGCGGTCAATTGTGCCATCAGCCTTGCGTTTGAGCTTGTAAACCCACTTACAGCCAACAATATTCTTGCCCTTCGGACAAGGCACAAGATGCCAGGTTTGATTCTTGATCAAGGCTTGATACTCATTGTCCATTGCCGCACTCCAATTGCGATCATTAAGAGCTGCATCAAGGGTGGAAGGTTCCTCTGCAGTGTGACTGGCAAGCATGCCCCAACGCACCGTGCCATCAGTGAACTGCTTGGGCTGGCGAATACCACGTTGAAGTCGAGTGGCAGGGCGATCAGGCATCGGTGCAGTAGAAGGAGCAGCTGTCGAGGACGAAGGAGGCACAGGCGCAGCAGCCGCAGAAGATCCCACGGGGAGGATCTGTACAGTAGCCTCAGGAGTAGGTGCTGTCGAGGTGTCGGCGACGGTCCCCGCGCCAGCAGGATCTGGCTGTGGAGCATCGAGCCCGGTGGGTGAGGGCTGTGGCATGGGATTTGGCATAGAAGATCCCACGCCCGCCGAGGGAATCACAGTGGCCCCGTGTGACGCCTCCACGTGGTCGGGACGGACCACCGTACTGCCACCAGAGTCCGCGCCGGATCCCGAGTGTGATGCGCCGACGCCAGCAGTGCCGTCAGGCGGATCGACCTCGGATCGCGCGCTGTGCCCCGACGGGGAACACATGAAATAGCGCGTGCCAAGCTCCGTTTGCACCGCATTTTCGCCGCCAATTGTACCTATGTCAACACCAGAGACAGGAGAACTTGCCGAGGCATTAGCAGTGTTAGGAGATACACCCTGCAGATCAAGTAATTGTGAATCCCCGAGGCTAGTAGAGTTGGTTAAAAGGACATCAGGTAGTAGCTCAAGTTCCTTTCTAAGACGAGCACCAGCGTTGGGGTGGAGGGACGCAAAGGGGAAAACTTGTTCATCAAAGATGACATCTCGAGATACATATACACGCCCTTGTTTTGGATCTAGACACTTGTATCCCTTGTGAAGTGTGCTATACCCAAGAAATACGCACTGTTTAGAACGAAACTCAAGTTTCCGAGTATTATAAGGGCGAAGATTAGGCCATACTGCACAACCAAAAACGCGAAGATGGCTATAATCTGGAGTCTCACCAAACAAGCGCTCAAACGGAGTATCATTATTGAGAACCTTAGAAGGTAACCTATTAATGAGGTAGACAGAGGTCAAGAAGGCTTCATCCCAAAATTTGAGAGGAAGAGAGCCATGGGCAAGCAGGGAAAGACCGACTTCTACAATATGGCGGTGTTTTCGCTCGGCAGAGCCATTTTGCTGGTGTGCATGAGGGCAAGAGACGTGATGGGCGATGCCAATTTTATTAAAGAAGGAATTAAGCGCTTGGTACTCACCACCCCAATCAGATTGAACCGCAAGAATTTTGTGTCCAAACTGGCGCTCTACAAGGGTTTGGAACGTATGAAAGCATTTGAATACCTCAGATTTATGACGAATTAAGTAAATCCAAGTGAACTTGCTATAATCATCAATGAAGGAAACATAATATTCAAAACGTCCAACAGATGTGGGAGCACGACCCCAAACATCAGAGAAAATAAGATCCAGAGGACCCTTGGACCCACTAACAGACTTGGGATAAGGCAATTGATGACTTTTGCCTTGTTGACATGCATCACAAATTCGCTGGTTATTGGAATCAAGAACAAAAGGGAGTCTATGCCGATCTAAGACATGCTTGACGACCCGAGATGAGGCATGGCCGAGGCGGTGATGCCACAGGGAGGTGGAAGGCTTGACGGCAGTGTAGACTTGTTTATTGGAAAATGAAAATGACGGCGAGGTGGATGATGCATGCAACGGATAGAGCCCTCCTTCACATCGGCCTTTGTGGAGAGTTTTCATCGTCCCCTGTTCCTTGATCAAAAAATGATCGGGGTGAAACTCAAGATAAACATGATTATCTCTAGCAAGTTGATTTACTGAACAAAGGCTCTTATTTGCTTGTGGAACGTGGAGAACATTATTTAGATGAAAAACTCTACTAGGGGAAGACACAGTACTATGACCGACATGTGTAATCTCCATATACTGCGCCCGTCCATGGCGTGAACATTGTCGCCGCCGTGGTACTTGTTGCGGGTGGTGAGGCGCTCCATTCGCCGGTGATGTGGTCGGTGGCACCCTTTGTCCACATACCAGTTCGATATCACGCCGTCTTAACTGGGCGTGGCCGAGGAGACGCTCTTCCGAGGTGGCCCGCTGTAGTTGTTGTCGAAGCGCTTGCGGGCAGGCATACGCCAGTGCCCTTCCTTGCCCTGATTTGGCGAAGACCCCGGCTGGAAGTTGCGGCCATGGCCGTTCCGCCGCCGCCATTGTTGTTGCCACGGCCACGGCCTCCCCCCCGCGACCGAAGCCACCGCGATTGCGCTATTGTCGCGGCTGCGCGGATTGTTGGAGGAGCCCCACCACCGCTGCGGTTGCCCTTGGTGGCAGCGTTGGCAGAAAACTAGGTGCCGCCGCCAGAGTTCAGTTCCTTGCGCTGCTCGTGCGCGATCAGCTGAGCATAAAGCTCTAGAACGGTGATGGGCTCGACCCTGTTGGCAGCAAGTAATGATAGATTCAAATTCCTCACCAAGGCCCGTGAGGATGTAGGTGACGAGATCCTCGTCTTCCACTTCTTGCCCGCCGACGCCATGTCGTCGCCGAGGCCCTTCATCTTGGTGTAGTAGTCAAGACAACGGACGATGTGCCCTTGGACGCCGTGGTAATAGCGCCATCCGGTGGAGATGATGCGGCACGAGAGGCGGGAGGCATCTTTGGGCATGGATCGCAGCCACAGCTCGGCGCGGTGGTTGCGGATTTACACTTGCGCCGAAGATTTCCTTCGATAAGGACGATAAGAGGTAGCTAAGGACCTGTTGGTCCTGAATCATCCACGTCCGGTAGGCGGGTTGGGCACCGGGTCGCCCTTCTTGCGGTCGCTTGATCGACGGCGCCATCGATGAGCGCCAGTGGTGGAGCAGCGCCGGTCTTGATGTAGTCCCCATCTCTGCGCGCCCTTGATGGTGGAGGAGACTTGCGCGTGCCACATATTGTAGTTGGCACAAGTCAACTTCTCGGAGACGGGCGGCAGGAAGCCAAAAGCGAAGGCCGGCATGGCAGCGGAGGAGGAAGAGCCGGCGGCCATGAGGATCAGTTCCGGGAGGAACGAAAAAAGCTCGATACCATATAAGAAAATGGGGGAACCAGATGACCTTTGTGGTCTCTGGACTGCATGTTATATATTCAGGGAAACGCCTCCTCACGGGCTTGGATTACATCACGGTAGTTACACAACAACCTTATGTGTCTATCCTAACAACCTCTAATAATCTCTCCCTATACATATGCTGTACACCGCATGACTCGGTTGTCTAGGATAACTATGATGCATATCATCTAACAGGACGATCCAACCTTTTTTCAGGTACAGGCACCACTCTCAGTTTCACCAGCCCACATGAGGGATCCTAGCCCCTTCAGTTAATCATGTTTTGATTGTATGCTTAATATAACTCAGGGGTCAACTGTTGCTAGCATGACGGCCGTGTTACCTAGTGTGAGGGTTTTATCTTTATCTGATGTGAAACTTTGTTTGGATGCGGCTGTTAATTTAGTGAAGTGCTTTCCCCGCTTGGAGAGGTTGTATATCAAGGTGACTCACTGTACCAAATTGTGCATGCATCAGCATTTTTGGTCAATTTGTACTATATGTATCAATGATTTTGTTTCTAATACCTAGGTTGACCATTGACATCATTTGTATGTTCACTTTGCTTTTGCAGGCACAAGCTGTTTGGTTGAAAGATGTGTCGTATCTTAAATGCCAAAAACTTATTGCCACCCTTGACATTCGTGTGAGGAAAATTGTGCTGGTAAACTATGAAGGAAGCAAGTCACATATTAACTTTGTCAAGCTTTTTGTATCAAATTCCAGAGTGTTGGAGTCACTGAGGCTTGAGTTAGCAGTCAAGAATGTTAGCGACGTGTGGATTGCAACACAACATAAGCGGCTCCATATCGAAAAGAGGGCTTCAAGGGGTGCACAGATCGATTTTGTATCCCCTAACATATCGAGAAGAGTCAATAATGTTCCACCTGATGACCTCCTAGTTGCTAAGCAAGTACATGATCTGTCAACCGACCCTTTTCAAAGATTTCACTAGTTGGTCTAATGGTATTTGGCTTTCAAGCTGGATGAATATTCAGTTAGATTTATCTTGCAGTGTGCTGATATGTATTATCTCCTTTCCGTGGACACTGTGGTTTGTCAACCCATGATTTTGTGCTATATTTTGTTTTCAACAGACAAAGACTCATTGATATGTCAATTGTTAGTTTCCCACCTAGTTTTCATTGTGATTATTGCTGTTCGTATGTATCCCATCAAATAATATATTGTTGTTTCCTCACAAAAATAAAACCTCTTTGGTAAACCATAAGGCCCATGCCGATATTATGTCAAAGCCAGTCTTGTTCCACGCACAACGCTGACAAAGTTGACCACTATCAAACTTGGTGAATTTCTATAAATAAATTTTGATTTGCTATATGTATATATTTATATTAATAAAAGTCATCCTGCTTATTTCTACATTCTCCTTTGACTATATCTCCCTAACTCATAATTGACCTCATTTGTAAATGGAGTGTATTGGTCTTGTACACCCGAAGACTACCAGACAGTTTTTTTAGTTTTCTTCTTATACTTATTACAGTGCTTAAAATTCATTCATGTTTTACTTTTGATGCCTGAAACTTAAGCATTCTTTTCACAAGCTGAAAGCCCTTAACCTGTCAATGGTTTAGATAACATGAAAATATTACTACTACAAAAAGCATTTTAAGAGACAGGCCCTAATTAACAGAGGCAGGCATTTTTAGAAGTTGCCTCTATAAATAGTCTGGCAAGTTTCATGCAAACGTTTGCCTCTATTAATCATTTACAGAGACGGTCATCCTAAGGAGGCCTCTAATAATGCCTATTAACATAGGCATGCCGCTTCTAGAAACCAATTAACAGAGTGACCCAACTAATCATTTACAGAAGCGGGCGTCCTAAGGAAGCCTCTAAAAATTGCTATTAACAAAGGTGTGTTGCTTCTAGAAATCGATTAATAGAGAGAACCACTCTTGCCGCTTCTAGAAATCGATTAATAGAGAGACCTGCCTATAGAAATAGTTGCATAAAAATAATTCATAATTTTTTCATATAAAGTTGGATGAAGAAAAAAATTATAACAAAATTATGCAGGTCGACGCGATATACAACTTTGTAGTTGATAAGTTTTTTTATTTGAAACGGTTTAGAGTCCAAAAAATCATTTTAATTACTTGAAATTTGAAATTTAGTTTAAGAGTTTTTGGATGATCTTGGATGTTGACATAGTATACACCAATGTTTTAGCTCTCATTGCATTACAACTTTGTTGTAGACAAGTTTTTGACTTGAAGTCGTTTAGAGTCCTAAATGCATTTCAGTATTTGAAATTTTTAGATTTTCAAATTCAAAATCTAAAATTATGAAACGATCTTGAATGTTGACATGGTCAATATCAAATTTGTAGGTAATGCGTTCTAAAACATTTTAGTTGACAAGTTTTTTATTCGAAGTCGTTTAGACTCTCAAATATTCGTTTAAAGTTATCATATTTTGATATTCAAATTTTTATTTTTTTTCTCGAATACAAATTTTTTAAAATTTTGAACAATCACAGACCCTATTCTAAAATTGCGGTTCTTGACGAGATCTAAAACCTTTTAGTTACAACATTTTTTCATTTGAGATCATTTAGTGGTGAAAATAACACAAAATTACAAAATATTCATACAAAAATAGCATCCTATACTCTCAAAGCCCCACCAGTTGCGCAACACCCATGAGGTGTCTGTATGCTATAGTGCCACACGAAATCTCTGCAGCGTCTAGCTCCTCGCCGCCACACATCACATCTCCAACACTTAACCCATCACAACTTTGCCCTAGTGAAAGATGCCAAGGAGGAGAAGGAGGTCGCCCAAAGAGGTTTGAGTTCCCCACTTCCCCTACTTTGAGAAGGCCACCTCAATCTTGCTCTTCTTTGAGTTTGACGACACTGAGTTTTGCATGAGTCATGTCATTCCATGGCCCGGAATGCGCTGAGCAATGTCATGTCCTTACCATAGTGCTCACCGTTGGCGATGGCCATCATCCATAGATAAACTCACAAAATCGAATCGTTCAAATCCAAATTTAGATATCATAAAGTTCTATCCGATTTGGATAGCACACGTTTCATATTTACATTCATACTTAAAAATGGATACAAACACAAACTAGATCGTTTAAAACCGAATATGATATCACTAAATTCAATGACAATTTTATTTTCCCATTTGAATAACTAAAAATATTTTTTCCTTAGTAATAAAATGCCAAAAATTACATTTTACAAAAAAAAAATACTACAATATTACTTTAATGCTATTATTGTAAAAACAATAAACAGATTTTCAAAAAATGTCACGCTTTATGAATAAAATAATATTATTTATGATTTTGCTTACTTTATATTTTTAAATTATATTAGTGTTTGAGCTAGCTATCAAGCCAATATTATAATCAAAATTGCACTAGTATTTGTTTTGTAACATTATTAAAAAATAAAATTATAATGTTTGGATAAAATACCAAATTAACATTTTAATAAAATGTCTAGTTATATGAATGATGTAGCATTATATTAAATCTATATTATTTTATATAATAAATTATATTTATATTTTTAATCATAATTTATATTTATATATTAATCATAACTAAAGAAAAAAAATCTTTGGTCGTTCGTTAATGCTACTTTCGGTCAAATGGCAAGCCAGTCAAATGCATTGTCGAAGACGTCATACAAAGCTGAGCAGACCCAAAATAACATCAACTAATAAAGAAAGATAAGAACAAGCGAATGTTTAGATATGAGAATATGTGGACAAGGGACCCTACTTATGAATCTCAGATCAAAGAAAATTGGAGTTGTAATTCTGGGAACTTAGTTTGCATTACTTCTTCTCTACAAAAACTGCAAGGCGCCCTTCAGAAATGGAGTTATAAGGTTTTTGGCTCTGTTCGTGGACAAATCAGAGATCTCAGGCCTCAATTGGAAGAGGTAAGAAGGAAAACATGGTTAGGAGGCATAACTACAGAGGAGAAAAAATTATTAAAACGACTATCAGAATTGCTAGCTCGGGAAGAAGCTATGATGAGACAACGTTCTCGTGCTCAATGGCTTTCTGAAGGAGACAGGAATACTGCCTTCCATGCCAGATGCAAAGAAAGGACAAGGCAAAATAGAATTGATTTTTTGAGAAAGGAAGATGGCACAATTTGCAGAACTCAAAAGGATATTGAGAAAGTGGCTATTGATTTCTACATCAAGCTTTTTACTGCTCAGGAAGAAATAAACACTGATGAAGTAATTCGATATGTGCCATCTAAGGTAACTTATGAGATGAACCAGATCTTGTGCAAGCCATATAATCCATAGGAGATTGAGGAAGCACTTTTCCTAATGAAACGAGATAAATCTCCCGGACCAGATGGCTTTACAGCTGGTTTCTTCCAAAAGCATTGGTCTATACTGAAAAATGATGTCTGCTCTGCTGTTTTGGATTTCTTAAACGGAGGAGATCTCCCTGTAGATATCAACAAAACTATTTTGGTTCTTATTCCGAAAGTAAAATATCCACAAGCAATATCACAATTTAGACACTCAAAAGTTCTAGCAAATAGGCTCAGATTGGTGCTGGATGATATAATATCAGAGGAGCAAAGTGCTTTCGTTCCTAGCCGGCTTATCACAGACAATTTTCTCACGGCCTATGAATGTATACACTACTTGAAAAAGAAAAAAGGGAAAATTGGTGCTTGTGCAATTAAATTGGATATGGCAAAGGCATATGATCGTGTGGAATGGTCATATTTGAGATGTATCATGAAGAAACTGGGGTTTGCAGATAAGTGGATTTCTTTGGTCATGAAATGTGTTGAATCAGTAAGCTTCTCAATTAAGGTAAATGGAAATCTTTCAGATTTTTTCTATCCTTCCCGAAGCATTAGACAGGGAGATCCAATATCTCCCTATCTTTTTCTTTTATGTGTGGAAGGTCTTTCAAGTCTACTTAAATATTCAGGCCCTCAATATCTAGCTAAAGGTATCCGAGTGGGAATTCACACCCCTTGGATATCACATTTGTTGTTTGCTGATGATTGCCTAATTTTTACTCAGGCTTCAGGTAGGGGAGCTGAAAGATTAAATGCCATCCTTGAGGCCTATAATAAGGGATCAGGTCAGATGGTAAATCGAGATAAATCAGCTATTTTCTTCAGTTCAAATTGCAAAGAGGAAGACAAGAAAGAAGTGTTTGAATACCTGAAAATTGGAAAGGAAGCCCTTGAAGAAAAATATCTAGGTCTACCTACAGCCCTGGGACGTTCAACAATAGAAGCATTTGAGAGTATATGCTCTTGAATACGAAATCTGGTGACTGGCTGGTGTGAAAAGAAGTTAAGTGCTGCTGGTAGAGAAGTTCTTATCAAGGCTGTAGCACAATCAATACCTACTTATTCGATGAGTTGTTTTCAACTATCAAAAACTATTTGTAAGAAAATTACTTCAGCTATATCTCGGTTTTGGTGGGGTGGAGATGAGGAAAAAAGGAGGATGCATTGGAGGAAATGGAACGACATAGCTCATACTAAACAAGGAGGTGGAATGGGTTTCAAAGACCTTCACCTCTTCAATTTGGCTATGTTAAGCAACAGAATCCCTTTGTGCAAGAACACTATGTGGAAAGTATTTTCATAATGGCTCTTTCATGACAGCAAAAAAGAAAAGAGGAAGTTCTCATATGTGGCAGGCAATTTTAAAAGGAAGAGTAGTTTTACAAAAAGGCCTCATCAAAAGAGTTGGAGATGGAAATACAATTAATATATGGAATGATCAATGGATTCCCACCAACCCAGGTTTTAAGCCTATTTACAGAAAGCCAGAAGCACAAGCTGTAAAGGTCCATGAGCTCTTATCTCCGAATGGAATGTCTTGGAACATACAAGCTCTTCGGGGTAACTTCCTTATTCATGACGAAAATGTAGTAAGCAGAATTCCTCTTGGAAGACTTGAGGAAGATACATGGGCTTGGAGTGCAGAAAAGCACGGTATGTATACTGTAAGGTCAGCCTATCGTTTATTGATTTCTAGCTCAAGAACGGCTGTCCTTCTTAAAAATAATATTGCTTGTAGTTCAGTAAGCGAAAACAACCCAATTTGGCAAAATCTTTGGAAACTAAAAATTTCCCCAAAGCTTAAAGTTTTTTGGTGGCGTGTTATCAATAATTTTATCCTTGTTTATGCAAAGCTGCCCAAAAGACATATATATGTCCGAAGTTTTTGCCCAGATTGCTCAGCTGAAGAGGATACAACTTACCATGCTTTTAACTCAATGCACTTTGCCCCGAGCTTTCTGGAAATCTTTCAAAAATATGTATGGCATTAAATTACCACTGATGCATCCAGCTACATGGAGTCAGGACCTTCTAGATCCTGCGTTCTGTTCGCAGGAGAAATGTGGATCTATATTATGTGCCATGTGGGCATTATGGACGACAAGAAACAGAAGAAAGCATGGAGAAACTTCAATTTCTACATATCAAGCTTGTATGTGGGCATGGGAAATGACAACTGATCTTATCCGTTCTAGCCCATCAGCATACACTTTGAAAAAGCAAGTAAAGAAAGTTCACTGGTGTCCTCCTCCTGATGGGGTAATTAAGGTGAATTTTGATGCGGCTTTTAAAATTGAAACTTATCAAGGTGCCTCGGGAGTGGTTTTACGTAATGCACAAGGTCAAGTCATAGCAGCCAAATGTAAACAACATGGGTCGATTCCTGATGCACTTACTGCTGAAGCTTTATGCTTATCGTGATGTGATGCTAATGATAAAGGATCTCAGACTGTCAAAGGTGATTGTTGAAACGGACTGTCAAGAATTAGTGGCGCTATGGAATTCTAGAACTAGTAATAGGTGTGTTATTATTCCAGTGCTAAATCAAATTCAAGATCTTAGTCAACAATGCACACATTTCGTTTTGGCTCATGTAAGAAGGGAAGCAAACATGGTTGCGCATTATACAGCCAAGTTATACAGCAAAGAGGCGCTTTTGAGTTCCCCTGCTTTGAGAAGGCCACCTCCATCGGGCTCCACTTGTCTTTTCAGGGCCTCGCCGTGCCTCCCACCGGTGTCTTCACCTGGCTTACCGGGCTCTACCTGAGTCGCGTCTGGTTCCACGGCCCGGGGGAGCTAGGCGACGCTGTGTCCTGGCCACGATGCCCATGCTTGCGGAGGCTCACTGTTGACAACGTCCGTGGCCTAGGCGAGCACTCTATACATTCGGGGTCTCTGCTGGAGATGGAGCTCAAGAACCTGTGCGGCTTGTCTCAGCTCACCGTTGTGACGCCTGCGCGCCAGGAGTTAATTGTGGAATTCTGTTTTCTCAAGAAGCAACCGGTCGCCAACATATCAGCCCCTCAGCTGGTGAATCTTGAGTGGAATGATGAATATGATCCGAGCTCTGTCCACCTTGGCAAGATGGAACATCTCCGATGCCTGGGCACCAGCTTTTATATTGTTTATGGAATTCCTATTGTTTATGGACACGATGGCTTCTTCATACACAATCACTCTTGTTTAAGTCTCTTGTGGTGCTTTGAGGACATCAAAACTCTTTCCATGCCGCTGATGCATCTACGGGTGAGTTCTCACTTCTATTATCTGGAATAATTCCATGCTAGTGTATTCATCCAAGGTTCTATGTGATTTTGCTGACTAAGTATGGTCCTAGGCTACCACAGAATTAAAGTTTGGTCAATGCCCCTTTTTTTAAAAAAAAATCGCACAATATACTAACTCCTAAAGCTTGAGTAGACATATAAAGCAAGAAATAAAGAACTTCAGGCATATTACATATGAGTCTTTGTTTAGGATAAAAAATGTTGACTTGTACATTGAAACAGATGGCCAAATTAAAGAGTCGTATTGTCTAGATGATGATGGTATCTGCAAACCACCGTAGGAAAGAGTCATATCATGTTTTGGTTTGCTCAGGTCCCTCCAACATTGCTGAGCACACTCATTCATCACTGTTGTTGAATATATCTTGAAGAAACATGAGATCCAAAGTATTTTATAGAAAACATGTAGTAGTCTTTTAAGCTGCTCACAATTGCCAGGCTTTGTAAAAGAAACCCATCATGAATTTGTTAGCTTATAGCAACCATTTCGTGCATGCTCGCAACAATGGCCAGCTAGCAACAATCACTTGAACAGCTTTAAGTTTCATTCTCTTAACTGTCACATGTGACCCCCTTGGTTTTACTTCCGACGGACACACAGGATTTAGAGAACTATCAATACTTGATGGAAGACATGATAGTGCTCCCTGACATTACCGTTTTGGTCTCAAATGGACATGCCTTTGGGGCCAGCGCATTCCATGTTCTCAGATTGTGCACTGGTATAAGAAGGTTGATACTGCAATTACCTACTACTAGTAGTGGCTCAGAGGTAAAGCTATTCTTTGTTTACCTACTCCCTCCAGAGACAAAGGTAGCATTTTTGTCCCTAAAAGGCATCTTTGACAATTAATGACTATTAAAGTATATGTTGAAAGCCAAATTAAATCAAAGTATTATGAAACTATTTTTCGAGGTACATTGATGCATGCTGTTTTTTTATTAAAAAAAGCATGCGTTTCTATTTAGTCAGACATGGTCCCTGAAAGGATGAAACACAACTTGTTTTCTTACTGGAGGTATTTAAGTTGCCAGGGAAGTAGTGGGAAGAAACTTGCATTTGCATTTTTTTTTGGCATGCCAAAGCTTATGTGTGGTAGATATATGGTATATTTGATATCCTAATCATGGTACTTTACTCTAGAGATTTAACTGAACGGTAATATTATTTGGGCTGTAAATAGTTGCTCTCTTATGGCAGTGGTGAGTCGTTGGATGGCACTAAGGCAGATCAACCTTGGTAATATACATAAGAGTTATGAAATAACATTGCAGTGGACAGAAAGCTGAAGGAGTCAGTGGTTTGGGTATGTTTATTGTATTTTTAAAAAGAAGAAAAAAGGTTCTGTAGTCCATTAAGAACCTATGCACTAAGATTGATTCAAAATCTCCTTAAATTTGGACGATTAATAGCATGTTAGTGTTACCTTGAATTTTATTTGATTTTATAACAGAAATTATGCTCTTGTGGGCTATCTTCTCTCCAAATACCAAATTATACTTCTGCAACTAGTGTCTAGTCTAGCTGTTGATGTCAATGCATTGTCACACCTCAAAAGTGTTCAGGAATCATACAATTTACTATCTCTCCTTTTTGTCATTCAACCATCAATTAATTTTATTAAGTTGATACTTGTGTCAGGTCCAAACTGTGTGCTCATCAGATTGCATATGTGATCAGCCAGCAGGCTGGGAAACTGAGGAACTCTTGTTGAATCATCTTGAAGAAGTCGAAATCAGTGGACTGAGAGGATCTGAACATGAATTTGCTTTTGTGAAACGACTTTTCAATTGGGGGACAAAGCTTAAAGAGATCACAGTAATTTTCTATCATTCAACCTCTGAAATCAAGGCCAAGGAGTTTTACCAAATATTTCAGAGTTTCTCTAGGCCCCAAGTATGCTCGAAACTTTACCTGTATCGGAGCTTCACGCCAGGTTGTCACTTTAGAACTTAGGCACTTTTTTATGGTTTCTGTTTTTCTTGTTGTGAACCGTGCTGTATGAGAGCATCAAAATGCTAGCAGATTAGAAAAATGTTGAGAACCAATATATTTTATATTTTCTATGAAAGCTGCGAGCTGGAAGTGTAAAAGATCCCAATGTAAGCACGCTTAAAGTTCAGCGATTCTATGACTGCTTGCTGCAACTGTCATTTTACCTCCGTAACAATCTCATGGTATTTAGAACACGGATAAATATCTCCCATGACTGTAAAGTGCAAAATTCCTAGGTCAAGACGAAGAGGCGCCGGAGGTTTGTCAGTTTAAACACTTCTTTATGGTTTGTGTTTTATTCTGGTTATGAACTGTACTGTACTGTACCAGAACATCAAAATGAAATAATGTTATGATCCTTCATATTTTGTTATATGCATATGGAAGTCGAAGTCTAGCCTTCTTTCCACAAGCTGGAAGTGTGTAATAAGATCCCCCAATGCAGCCACGGTTCAGAGAAGGCAATCATTTTTTGTTTTGGGTAACATGTTCGGTGACTGGCCCTGTTTGATGCTGCTATTTTACCTCCTTAGACTAAATCATGGTATTTTAGCACACAAGAAACGTTTCCCACAAACTGTACAAGTGCAAAGATAAAAGCCAGTGGGCCTTCGATATTTTGGCCAAAAATGAATAATCAATGATACAGCAAAAATATGATTTTACATGGTGGAGCAGCAAGAACAACATAGAGCTACGTCTAATTCCTGTTGGCTGAAAATTGAGAACTTTCAGTTTTACATAAAGCTAGTCCTAATTCTATGCTACACAAAAAATGACATCAACAATTTCTGGAGACAATTTACATCCGTGCTTGTGCTTTCAAGGATCTCTCGTGCAAACCCTGGTAAACTGTACAATCCATATGGTTATGTATCCTTACTAAAAAATGGTTAGAAGTTAAGGTCAGAAGCTGCATCCTGTAGGTGAAACACCATGGAAGCTCCATCACAGGGTTGTTAACCCAGCTCCTCTGGATTGCAGTGCTCCATGAGCAGTCACAATGTTGCATAGTCACACAGATGATCTTATAAAGCTCAACATCCTTAACTGCACAGGATTCTGCAAGGCACATTGAGACTGAACTGCATCTGATAGAAATGGCACTCTACATGGCATGCAGGATCCTCGATCAGAACAAAACTTCCTTTCCGTTAGGCCTTGGCAATGGACTAGGTTGAGGGTTTACGCTTGTAAACTGCATGGTGTTCACAAAATTTGCTGTGGAACCAGGATTGCCAAAACCTAAAGGCCGAGGTGAAAAGTTAGGAGTAGATTCCTGGATTGTTAGTGGAACCAATCGAAAAGTTGATTCAGAAGACCTAGCAGCTCTGCTTGGTTCACTGGTAACAAAAAGAATGTGTTGCTGTTAAGATATAGTGACGAAAAACTAACAGTTCTTTTAACCAAGACAGCACAATGATAATTTAATCGAAACTACTCACACATTGGTTTTTTTTCCTTTCATGCTTGAGTCACTCTTCGCAGTTGGTCTGTTGTCTCTTGAACTGTAAGTGGTATCCTGTAATACATCAGTGGCATCATATGTATGCCATTCTCAGGTACCTTTTAACCCAAATTGATCATGTCAGAAAAAGGGACTTACATTGACTTTAATCCCTGCAAATGAATGTATGGAACCATGTTTGTTGTAGTGACTTGAATTGCGGATGAATGGATGGTCCAACAGCTCGCTTGCAGTTGACCTCTCTGCAGGAGTCCTCTTGAAACAGCACTGTAGAAATTCTTTGCCCTCATTGGACAAATTTTCTGGAATTGGTGGGTCCTTATGTAACACCTTAAACATCGCAGCTGGCTACAGGATGAAAAGGGTAACATATAATAGGGAACATTAAAATCAATGTGTGATGTCAATACCAAGAATACTGGTGACAAATAAAAGCATGTAAGGCAGTAGAGAGCAAGGTGAAGAGGTGATCAATAACACTAGCAACATGTGCTTGTCTTGTCTTTCTATGTCTATGCAATCTAGAGCCCTACTTTTTCTATGACAGAATGGTCAGGCTAGCTATAGCTGTTTTCCTTAGGTATGAGAATGAAAACTTTATCACACTCGACCTCTCTTGTATAGAACACTGGGTGTTATTGACATGATAGTTTCACAATTCTTGTGGCTTTGAGCAATCAGATGGCCTCACCTATTATGTAAATATTTATAGGACTATTAGCATGACAGGTATGTATGTATGTAAGACTCAAATACTGCTTCGGTGCTTCCAGAAGCACCAATAATTTTGGTTGGTCAAGGATCCCTAGATCACTATGGGGCAAATATTGTAAGCCTGTAACGAAGGGAGCACAGATAGCACAACTGAAGGATGACACAGGGAAAGTGCTTCATTTTAAGTGAGCTTAAGCACACTAGGAAAATTTGAGTCATGCAAATACATGCTAGAATTTATTGTAAAATATAAGCATACTTCAAGTTATTACCCCTTCAAGATCACTCCAAGGAGGCTTTCCATCGAACATCTCTATGATGGTGCAGCCAAGACTCCATATATCAACAGCGAGATCATAGCCTACATCTTTCATTAGTGTAGCTTGAACCATCTGAAGAAAGAAAAATTTTATCAATAACAGTACAACTAAATTTCTAGTCACAAGCATGTTACTAACTTTGATATAAAAATAAACACATGAAGCAGCAAAATACAGTAATAGGCTCATTTGACAAGCTAAATTGGCTTTCTACTAAAGGCTAACTAATTCATTAAAAAACACTGCAACCCAAGCTGTGAACTAGAGAAATGAGCTACTGTTGTTTTATTTTGTATGTCTCACAATTGGTTGCCTAACTAACTGCCCGTTTGTGAGTTGATATATCAAATAATATTTATTTTGATTACAAATGCATTTCGTACAAAGTTAAGAGAGCTTCATAGCCCATCAACATAATATATGTTCTTATTCCTTTGTTGCACACACTGACTTTAAGCAGCCCATGCAACAGGCTCTGGAGTCTCACTGTACTTTGCAGTTTCAGTAAGTACAGAACTTCTGAGCTCCCAATGTTTTTTTTTTCTTTTTCACGATCTTGCCTGAGCATATTACTCGAGTTCACACTGTAATTGACAACCCATGCTGAAAACAGTGTAAGGTTAGATAAAAATCATAGTATTATCGTGTTATGCAACATTACAATTTTATACAGACCAAAGTTTGTGTTTGTGTGTGTGTGTGTGTGTGTGTGTGGGGGTCACATGTTGTACATAGAAAATAAAATTGATACTTAGTTGCATGAAAAGTTGGTAGTAATACAAGGAATTTCTTAAGATACCTCTGGGGCCATCCAGTATGGTGTTCCCTTCAGTGAAAGATTAGGGGCTGCAGTACTTAACTGGTAAAAGGAGAAAATGATGTCAATGGTGCCACATGAAAAATGTTACTGAACTCATGAGTCTAGACTCACATGCTTGGCCATTCCAAAGTCAGCCAATTTGACTACACCCTGAACATCAACTAGCAGATTTGCTCCTTTGATATCCCTGCAAGTGTATATTTTCATTGCCTTTTACATAAATGACACAAAGTGAAAGCAGATGCATTAGTATATAGCAATCAAAACCATACTGAGAGGTGCACTCCATGTTACTCTATTGAAAACTTTTGTTTGAGGTTGCTCAGTTTTGATACACAAGCTATGCCCTCCACCTTTTCATATATTCGCCTAGGTGAGCTAAGGCATTGAATAAGATGACTTGAGTTTTATTTCTGCTCATGGTTGTCAACAAAGTTCCTATTTTTATGTACTTTCATGAGTACTCTTTTTTTTTTAAAAATGAGACCATAGCTCCTTCATCTCCCATCCTATATATGTTCAAATAACCAGAGAAACGACAAGGTATCATGATAAGGGATGACCAATATAACCAACACTCAAACAGTGATGCATTTGGATCTCGGATGCAATAACCAATTTGCATACCAAAGTCTAGTAAGCCAACATAAGAAAGAACATAGCGACATGAACTAAAAGAGGCAAATAGCATGGAGATCTATGTGAGAAAAATTATACAAATAAGTATTTTGTGCGAAAGTTTCTCCTAAAAACTTTTGTGTGGGAAAATTTAAATTTGCGAAAGTTTACTAGAAGCTCTAAGCAAGACAGAAGAACTAGGAACCAAGCCCCAAGTCAACATACCAGTTGACCTGGCACAAAAAAAAATTGCATTTGAACAATGACAGGGATTTGCATACCTATGCATAATCTTTTGGCCATGCAAAAATGCTAGACCCCTTAGAATATGGCGGGTGAAGTTGCGAATAACTGATTCTGTCATTGCTCCATAATGTTGTTTGACATACTTATTAATTGAACCCGGGTGAACGTATTCCAGGTAAATGTAAAAACGGTCTTCAATCTGCAAGACTCCCCAAAGATTACATGATGAACTAAAAAGCAGAGTTACTTAGCTCATATTCATGTCGGGAACTTACAATGTCACTGCCATAATACTGCACTATGTTTTCATGCTTAAATTGGCTTAGGGAACTTTACTTCCTGAAATATATGAAAGTATGTCAGTGCAGGCTATTACAGAACTTGCATATATTTCCTAAGTTGTCTAGATATAAAGATAGACAGCTCTCCTACGTGTTTGAGAAAAAAATGTTAGTCGCTGAATTCTCACTCTTGGTACTAGCAGAATTCTTACTCTCATCGAGAGAGGATGACACTAGGAGTTGGGACAATTTTCTGGTTTATTTCTCACACAAACTCATCCAAATGCCATGCCAACCTGAGGGGTTGGGGATACATATTTATAGGCTGCTAGCCATCCAAGCATATGCCAAGATGCTAGTCTAAGATGCTAATATGCTGTCCTAACTAAGATGTTGTCCTCTCAATCAAGATGCTGCTGCAGCCAGCCCCACAAAGACCAGCTGCAGCCAGCCCCACAAAGACTACCAACAGAGACTTATCCCATCATTCTCCCCCTAAGTCTTGTGCGTCGTCTTGTGGGAAAGTTGAACCATCCCGGTCCTGGAGCAAAGCTCAAGGAACTTGATCCTCCCAAGGGGCTTGATGAGCAGGTCCGCAAGCTGGTCCTTGGTGTTGATGTAGCTCGTCTTGATGCTCCCTTCCTCCAAACAGCCTCGGATGAAGTGGTACCTCACCCGGATGTGCTTGCTGCGTTCATGGAAGACGGGGTTCTTTACCAGGGCCAGAGCGGACTTGCTGTCCACCTTGAGCTCCACCGCTCTAGTGTCTCTGCCGAGGAGATCACCAAGCAGTCAAGCGAGCTAGAGCGCCTGAGTCGAAGCGGTGGAGGCCGCTATGTACTCGGCCTCGCAGCTGGATAGGGCCACCACCTGCTGCTTGACCGACTGTCAGCTAACGAGGCACTTGCCGAGGAAGAAGAGGATCCCGCTCGTGCTCTTGCTGGTGTCGATGTCGCCGGCGTGGTCGCTGTCGCTGTACCCGACGAAGTGTGCCGCCCCAGGGCACCTAGGGTAGTAGAGGCCGTGGTCGAGAGTCCCCGCAACGTAGCGGATGATCCTCTTCACAGCCTGCTGGTGCTCCGTTGTCGGTCGCTGCATGAACCGACTAACGTAGCCAACGGAGAATGCCAAGTCCGGCCGTGTGTGGGCGAGGTAGCGAAGGCTCCCCACAAGACGCCGGTACTGCGTAGCGTCCACCTCCTCCGTCGTGCTGTCGCGGCTTAGCTTCAGCCTCTCCTCCATCGGAGTGAGAGCTGGGTTGCAGTCGGTGAGCCCAGCTAGCTCAACGACGCGCTTGGCGTAGGCAATCAGTCGAGCGTGATCCCGGAGTCATCCTGGTGCACCTCAATTCCCAGGTAGAAGGAGGCCCTAGGTCACTCATCTGGAAGGTGGCCTTCATCTCTTCCTTTAATGCCGCCACCTCCGTATCCTTGGTGCCGGTGATCACCAAGTCGTCGACGTAGACACCCACCAGCAGAGCATTTCCTCCACTGCCCCGTTGGTAGATGGCCGCCTCGTGCAGGCTTTGCTCGAAGCCCATCCCCTTTAGCGTGGAATCCAGCTTGGCATTCCACGCCCTCGGTGCCTGCCGCAAACCATAGAGGGCCTTGCGCAGGCGGAGCACCTTGCCCTCCTTGCCGGGGATCGCAAATCCCGACGACTGGTGCACGTAGACCCCCTCCTTCAAGTCGCCGTTAAGGAACGCCGACTTGACGTCCATGTGATGAACACGCCAGCCCTTCTGGGCAGCTAGCACAAGGAGTCGCACGGACTCTATCCGTACCACGGGAGCGAATGCATCGTCGAAGTCGACCCCCTCCTGTTGCACGAAACCTCGTGCCACCAAGCGAGCCTTGTGCTTGACGATGGCGCCGGCTTCATCCCTCTTCAGCTTGTACACCCACTTAAGGGTGATCGCGTAGTGACCACGAGGGATGTCAGCAAGCTCCTAGGTGCGGTTCTTCTCAACCGCATCCATCTCCAACTGCATCGCGGCGCGCCATGACACGTGTCTCTCGGCCTCTGCAAACGACCGAGGCTCGCCGTCGTCACACGCAAGGTGCAACTGCGCCTCCAGGTCGTGAGGCACCGGTCCCGGCACCGGCTGGTCGCCGAGAAGGTTCTCCATCGTACGGTACCGCAACGGCTCGCCGTCGTGGTACGTGTCGATGCGCTCCTCGTCGTGAGAGAGCGGAGTGGCGAGCTCAACCGGGCTATGCTCGACACGAGCTGGTGGTGGAGTAGACGTGACCGGAGTGGTGCCTGTCGGTGCTGGAGTGCGTGGCGTTGCCGGCTGTGGTGGAGCCGGCGAAGGACTCATCGCAACCGAAGTCCTGGCTGGAGAGCATGGTGCTGTCGGAGTAGCAGGCGCCGGGGCCGGTGGACACTCGGGGACTGGGATAGACGTGCTCGTCAAAGAAGAGCTGCCTACTCCCCCAGCTCCCTCGAAGTGGACGTACTCGACAGTGAAGTTGTCGTATGTCGGAGACGAGCCGTCGTCCACCGCCTTGTCCCACGCCCATCCTCGCCCTTCGTTGAACACAACGTCGCGCGTCGTGCGCACACGCTGTGTCTTCGGGTCGAGGATGCGGTAGGCCTTCGAGCCCTCCGCATAGCCGATGAACACTTCCGGAGTGCTCCTGTCGTCGAGCTTGCTGATGTGGCCAAGCTCCTTGGCAAACGCGAGGCAGCCGAAGACCCGCAAGTGGGAGACCGCCGGCTTGCGCCCATGCCAAGCCTCGTACGGCGTCCTGCCGTCGAGCGCCTTGGTAGGCGAGCGGTTGAGGATGTAGACGGCCATCACCACCGCCTCTCCCCAGAAGACAGCCGGCATCCCCCTCTGCTTGAGAAGGGCCCGAGCCATCCCCACAACCATCTGGTTGCGCCGCTCGACGACGCCGTTCTGCTGCGGGCTGTACGGCGCGGAGTAGTGGCGTTTGTCGATGTTTTACCACCGATAGCCTGCCACGGGGGTACCCGGGACAGTTGTTCGGGCTTCGACGAATAGCGGAATTTGGCGGTTACGCAAAGAGATTCACGATTTATACTGGTTCAGGCCCTCGACTTGGTCGAGTAATAACCTTACGTCCAGTTTTGGCGTTAGCCTGTTTGCGTTGTATTGCTTTGAGTATCGGGTATGCGTTCTCTTCTTATAATGGGTACCCTCACCAGCCCTTTATAGTCCAGGCGCTAAGGGGCGTTGTTTGTGTCCTATTCGGATACAAGGTCAGAGTCCTAAGCTACGCTTCGGGCGCCTTTCCTTGTATAGTTTGAGTTGGAATTTCGGTTTTGCACGTTGCTTTGCTCCGCTTTCTTCTTGGCGATTGGGCTGTAGGCCTTGTTACCAAGGCCTACCTCCCTACAGTATGGTTTATGGGGGGCCCGTAGGGTTCCCCATCGACAAGCCCCCGAGCATTTCATGATTGAGCTTCAAGGGCCGAGTTGTTGTAGTCTTGATCCGGGTCCTTCTTGAAGTGAAATCTTGAGATGGTCTTCTTTGATTCTTCTTTTGGCTGATGTGCACTTTTGCTCGATGTCCTCCGGGTTCTTTTTCCTTTGAGTGCAGCGAGTGCAAATTGCACTCATTGAGTGTAGCCCCCGAGCCTTCTGTTTTTTGGTACAAAAAGCTGGAGGGTCAAAAAATTTGAAAATATGTTTTTCTGTGGTAGGTACTTGCAGCCCCCGAGCCTTCTTTGGGTTCTTTTCCGTTGAAAAGAAGCCGGAAGAAGAGTCTTGATTTGTACTCCTTTGATCTTTGTCTTTTGCTGGTCACGGATGGGTCTTGTATAGCCATGAGTGAGCGTTTTCTTTTACTTTTTGTCAGGAATCTTGCTTTTGGGTACTATTCGCCTTTGTTGATTTGCTCTTTTGTTCTTTTCCTTTCTTTCTTGTGATCTTTAGCCTTGTTTACCTCTGGTTTGTTATAAATACCTTCTTTGTTGGTTGTGGTTCTTCCTTGAGTAGGAAATTTCTTCTTCAATTCTTTCTTCATTCGTAGATATGCTGGTGTGTGAGGTTGAGCAGCCCCCGGGCTTATGCTTGCTTGGTAATGAACATGCTGCTCTATCTGTTCTTCTACGTCCGGGCTGCCGCTGCTGCCGCCACTGGGCTCCTTGTTGCAATATTTAAGAATCTTGTCTCTATCTTATGTCTGAGTTTATCCGGTCCTGTTTGGCCGTCTGTAACCTTTGTATTTGTCTTCGATCAATGAGATGTATAGTTTTTCTCTGTCCGAGTTCTTTTTCGACTGTAATCCTTTGACATTGTAATTTTGTATGTGATCATTCATACGTCTCCGAGTTGTTTGTTCGGTTACTTATTGCTATTGTCATTCTGGTTGTTGAAGAATTCAATGCATGTCTTCACGGGTTGTATTGTTGCTTGTGGAATATTCTCTTTGATATGCTTGTCCTTCAGTGCTGTTCTTTCACGCTAGAGTCCTCTTTCATTGAATTCTGTCTTTTCATTGTGTCCTTTGTTAGATTTCTTTTGTTGGTGCTCCTAGTCCATGTGCACCGCTTCTTTTGCCTATAAATGCCCTTCCGGAGTACTGTTTTGATTCATCGAGCCTTTTGTTGCCTGTTCTGAAGTCTTCTGTAGTTATGAATATGATAGTGTGTGAAGTAGAGCAGCCCCCGGGCGTATTTTGTAGTTTTTGTACATTTTTTTGTAGCTGGAGGAAGTCTTGTGATAGGGATTAGAGGTAGACTAATCCCGCAGCGGCATTGTACTTGGAAGTACGTGGTGGTAGTTGGAGGAAGTCTTGTGATGTGGGCTTCGTTCCTTCATCCGGCAGTTCTGGGTTGATCCTCGCCGTCTGTCTTGAGACTGTCCGGTG